GTATACTTCAGGAATGCGGATACGCTCGGTCCATACCAAACACAACGATGCCGTGGGTTATCGGCCGAGAACTTGCTGCATCGAGTTTTCTCTGCACTGTCCGAAGGTTGACGTTCTGCAAAGGTCAAAATCCGGACGCGGGTATGGTTTTTATCGCCGGTATCAAGACAGTCATGAGTGGGTTCGATTATTTCGCAGCGCAACACGAATGCGGCGACAGATAACGTAGTACCGCTCCATTCAATCCTCCAGACAGATTGTAAACAAGTAGGCAGTTTCCTCAGGATTTGGTGCGTCTAAAAGCACATTTACGTTCAGCTGTGCTTGCATTGTGCGCCAATTTGTGTATTAAATTTGTTCCATTTTATTTCGCTTTGCGATAACTTTTTTTTGAAGACGACTTCTTTCCGTTCCTTTTTCACTCAACTTCTCGTAACGAGGTGCCATATCCCATTTCGAGCCTAACCCAGCTATATATATTTGCCGTCATACTTATAAATAAAGTGCTGGTTAAATTATTTGCCAGCACCGGTGATAGTTCGCTATAGATTTCGAACCATTTCATTTATTCATTGTTTTGGGTTTAACGCCGCAAAACCACCATAGATATGACTAATGAGAGACGCCGTAGTGGTGACCCGCCACGGGGGTCTAACGCACTCGGCTGCTAACCCGCCGGTGACGGGATGGAGTCCCAGCTCGGGACGCTGAATTTTCGATGGAGGCGAAGATGTTTGAGGTCCATGTGCTTAAATTTCGGTGCATGCACGTTAAATGAGCCCAGGTGATAGGAATTGCTGGAACCCTCCACTATGGCGTCTGTCATAATCACACTGCAGTTTTGAGGTGTTAAACTCAAAACAATGAATGAATAAAAATGTTCATCAATGTCGGCTACATCGTCTGCATTGCTCATTTCCCCAATAACCGAGTTCTGTACCAATGCTCCAATACGCTTCTTAAAAATGGTGTTTTTTGGTTTGTAATACCGGTGTCACAAGCGCACTTTTAGTCACGATCAGGCTGATTCGGATTGGTTTACTTGATCACGATGAACTTTATGACCGCTGCTACACGGAACAAGCTAATCCGGTTCGAGCTAGGGTCAGATTCAATGCACCACGTGACACTTATGTGTCGTAAAACGTGTCATTGACAAAACTCGGTCTATACAGGATACTTCAATTTTGTATAGGCCATTTATCAGCAATATGTTATTCGTGCAAGAACTGCTCGAACGTCAAAAACTTCGCGTGCCACTGCAAAAGTATTTTAATAAAATTCATCATTCCGTAGAGTTTTCTTCGCACAGACCTGTGATGCTGTGCGAGAATCGTAATCTTCACTTTTATTTCTGATGGCACCTACTCGTAGCCGTCCAGTCGCAGCGAAACGGCAATATCGTTATACATGCCAGAGCTTCACTTCTGGCGCCTCAACGCCCAGTTTGCTCCCGCCAGCGGTTAATTACTGTAAAGGTCTCTTCATTCGACCACGAAGTGTGGGTACGCAGCAACGTAGTCGAAAAGCTGGCGACACTCATAATCAACTTGCTTTGAGGTGCTCCAACTGCTCCGACGGTGTGAGAGCTGAACTTGTCGCCTGCTTCTCGCATAACTACATACGGTCAGTACGAATCCTAAAATGTGCAATATTACAAATATTTTTCCAAATGAAACAGTTTATTTCTTTATAAATAAATATCTAGCTTTTTAAATCTTTTTTACAGAGCTATACTTCATTTTCTTGTTTTTTGCTTCCGACAAGCTCGGCCAGGGAAATCAGACGACACCAAATCGAGATCTCTCAGCCAGATAGTGATGCGCGGAACACGATAGTCTTTATTCCGACCGGGTCTGATCGCAATAAAAAGTGACCGTGTAGAAGCACCTAATCTGGATTTTGGTTTATCCGGTTCGGTAATGATTGCGATTAAAAATGCCCGTGTGACACCGCTATTAGATTCTGTGTACGTGTCACATACTAAGTTGCATTAATTAGGTTTTAAGCAAACAATTTTCTATAAATAAAATCTAGAAAAGTTAACTATTTTTTTTTCATTTAATAAAAAGGGTGTTCAAGGCTGTGATAAGGAGGTCTGCTGGTAAGTCGGCTCGTCACTGTCACTTTTTTTGAAGCGTCATATTCGTCAATCGTGTGGGCAGTAGCACCACGCACATCTCCCCCTTTCCGCGGCCGTCGTGCTCCAAACTACCACAACGCGAGGCCACTTGAAAACCGAAGAAGACGCCATATTTGAGAATACACACACAGCTATAATGTCCTCTCAAGATAGTGACGACGAATCAGTCTGAGTGTTTTGGGGCCATTCCTCTTTCCGTCTTTGTTTGCCTTTTTGTCGGCAAGATCCACGATATGTTCTAGCGCACTTTATCTATTAAGAAACCCGAGACGAATGCACTCGGAAAAAACGGGTGAACCGACAAGCGTTCCCCCGATGCCTTCTGTACTTTTGAAACTGTACTTTCGTGACCCCGTCTCACGTTTCCCAAGCTCGTAAACCTTTTCTGCGCGCAAAGAAATGCATGACCGTCTAGGCAACGGATCTTGGGCTATCTCCGCCTCCTTACGCAAGAGCGACTTTCCGCTGCTCCTTTGAGGCCATGTTTCCGCCGGCTTGCTGAGACGATCTTTTCGCAAAGGCTTGCATGTGACGGCGATAAGGTGCATTTTCAGTCGCGTTCAGTAGCCCCGCCGTGGTGGTCTAGTGGCTAAGGTACTCGGCTGCTGACACGCAGGTCGCGGGTTCGAATCCCAGCTTCGGCGGCTGCATTTCCGATGGAGGCGGAAATGTTGTAGGCCCATGTGCTCAGATTTGGGTGCATGTTAAAGAACCCCAGCTGGTCAAAATCTCCGGAGTCCTCCACTACTGCGTCTCTCATAATCATATGGTGGTTTTGGGACGTCAAACCCCACATATCAATCAATCAATCAGTCACGTTCAGTATGAGTTACAACGTCGTGTGCGTGGTTGAGAGACAGAGAAAAAAGTAAAGAATAATAGAAGCCGGGAAGTTAACCAGGTTAGTGGTCCATTTGGTGGCCCAATAGTCCGTACACTTTGGTCAGAAACCAGGAACGCGGCAGGAAAATATTTTTCAAAGGTGAAGGGGGAAGGGGGTATTTACCTTTTATGAAACATTTTAAAATTTCGGTTGTGGAAAGCTTAAGCTCGCCCACTCCTTCTCAACGATTCCTGTTGGAAGCAGAACTATCTGTGCACATCTAGGATGACTGCCAGTTGGGCGTGTTGGTAAAGGTTCATAATGAAAGAAGCGCTAAAAATACACACTCTCAGAGAGGACACATGAACATGAGAGTTTAGTGAACATGAGAGTTACCTAAAGGGGGCCCTTACTCACACTTAGCGATGCAATGCAAGGAGTGCACCTGTCAACCGAAATTTCCAGACACTCGAATAATTGCCAGGCACAACAAGCGGACGACGAGGGAAATAATGAAAGTGTATAGAATAAGGAAAGGAGGGGACAGTTGCGTCAGTGAAGCGTCAGTTCTACTAACAGATGCGGAATTTGATTTTCTGGACGTCACATAACCCAGTGCTATTCTTCTGTTTTACGTTTTTTTTCTGTTTTTTTGTTTGTTTTACGTTTTCTTTTCTTAGTTCTTGACACGTGTTTGTTTCCGGTTGTGTGCCATCGATTATGGGAGTGCATATTTTGTTATATCCCGTAGTTGATGATGACAGCGGAAGTTGGGAATGACGTACATGCGTCTGATGTATTTATTAGTGTTCGCTTCGAAATAAAGTTTTCAGTTGCTAGTAAGCGCTTGTCTGTGTCCTCTCTGAGTGTGTGTATATTTAGCGCTTGTGTCATCCTGTGCACAAATATGTGATTGATACGTGGGGTGTAACGTCCCAAAACCGCCATATATGGTTGTAAGAGACGCCGTAGTGGAGGGCTCCGGAAATTTCGACCACCTGGGGTTCTTTCACGTGCACCCAAATCTGAGCACACGGGCCTACAACATTTTCGCCTACATCGAAAATCCAGCCGCCGCAGCCGGGATTCGATCCCGGGAACTGCGGGTTTAGTAACCGAGTACCTTAGCCACTAGACCAACGCGGCGGGGCGCTATGCACATCTAGGGGGACATAGAAGATAAACCCGTCCTTCCAGTATTCGAATTTCCGAAATGTATTTACGATTGGGTAATCTTATCACCCTCATAGCTATAGGTGTCTAGAACCAAAAGCAGCGAATAATGGGGGGCTGCAATACTCAGAGGGATGAAAGCGGCGGGAATGCACAATTGGCTCGCTATCTCTCACGTTTTTTAAAACTGATTCTTTAAAGTATAGGATAATAGTGCATGCTTTCACGTTTAACATATGTCAGTCGTCACATCGAACTGCTTGGTTTTGGGACGTTAAACCCCACAAATCAATCAATCAATCAATCAATCACATCGAACTGCTTTTTAGGATCTCTATGATGGGTTAGTTGTGTCCGAAGTTGACATTGCTCCAAACTGATTTTACTGAAATGCGACATCTTGGTTTAATAAACAGCTGAAATCGAAAGTGTTATATATAATTTCGTATACCTTCGCCGCTACGCAAGTACTCTTGGCACCTTTGCAAACTTAAGCATCGTGCTGTAGCAGATGCGATTACACGTCTCTAAATGACTGGTTCAATTCAGTTTGAACAATACGCAACAACATTTGTTCAGGGAACAGTTGTTCTCACTGCCTGATGTTCTAACTGCTTGCTCTAACATGGTTGTTCTAGCTGCTTGATGAGACTGACTGCAGAAAGAAATAAACAAGAACCTATCGCAGAGGCCGACAACCGATCACTTCAGACACAACGACATCTTCGCTGTGGTGCCTAGACCAACAGACGTCATTGAAGCCCCAGAATATCAGTTGTCGCTGATAAAACAAGCGCTGCGTTCTGTGATATCGTTATTGCGCCGCAATGTTGCAATTAGGTGACACCTTTAGCACAGCGATTGCGTATACGCACTCCGCTCGTCTTATCAGCGAGCCAGTATCGCGCGCAACGTCGCGACGCCAGCTGTGGACAGCCGAGGCATAATTTATTGTTGCGCCATGAAGTCCTTGACGAAGCTGAGGAAAGCAGCGGGTTTGTCCCGGTGCACCCAGTGGCCCGCCCCTTCGACGCTCACGATGCGGGCCTTGGGAAACAAGCGCCGGATCGCCCCATGCTCGGCACTCCTGAAATAACAAATATATATTTAGGATGACCGCCAGTTGGACATGTCCTTCCTCAGTCTTCGTACAGCGCTTGTTTCATCGTGAACAAATGTATGTTTCCGTCAATGGCCTAAGTAATGCGTTATCTATCTATCTATCTATCTATCTATCTATCTATCTATCTATCTATCTATCTATCTATCTATCTATCTATCTATCTATCTATCTCTATCTATCTATCTATCTATCTATCTATCTATCTATCTATCTATCTATCTATCTATCTATCTATCTATCTATCTATCTATCTATCTATCTATCTATCTATCTATCTATCTATCTATCTATCTATCTATCTATCTATCTATCTATCTATCTATCTATCTATCTGTCTGTCTGTCTGTCTGTCTGTCTGTCTGTCTGTCTGTCTGTCTGTCTGTCTGTCTGTCTGTCTGTCTGTCTGTCTGTCTGTCTGTCTGTCTGTGCGTCCATCCATCCATTCATCCATCTGTCTAATTTCCACGAGAAAAAGCAATAGAGAGAGTTTTTCGCATTGTATAACCTCGATACAATTACGACGCTCACCTTGTAATTGGTGTTTCGCACTGATAATCAAACCTGGGCTTGTATAATGGGTCTTAAAACTAATATCAGTGTTGTGTTTCACGCTGCTACGAGTGGGCTGGGAATCTAGCCTTTATTTTCGAGCTCTGAAGAGCAACACCTTATCCGCTAAGCTACTACGGCAGGCGTTGAGAGAGAGAAGAGACTGACCGATTATTAATTAAATGAACCGGAATTACTAACAGATTATTTTATTGATTAACACATTGATTGAGCTTCACGCTCAAGTATCTAAGTGGGAAACCGCACTGAATGCGCCTTGATTTCCGATGTACGATAGGAGGTGTGCGCTGGATTGTTTACCACTGCAGAAAGTCTACATACATATCGTATATAGGACACAGCCGACCACGTATGTACGTTAGCACACTAGCTTTTTCGCGCCAGGGGGCTGCAGCTGAAAACCTTCTTGAATCGGACATGCGGACGTAACTCTCAGAAATAAAGTATTACTATTATTAGTAGCCACTATTATAATTGCTACTCGCTTTCATTTTGTGCGCTCTGTTTTTTTTTTGAAATACACTCTAAGTAATTCGTAAAGTTAACAGCCCACACGAAAAAGAAAGACAGAAAGATTGTCTTTAGTGTCCATGGTGACATGTCTATCCATCTCGCAGATCAACTATTAGTGAGACTGCTCGTACTCGCTATGCTCCTATTACTGCTGCACTACTGCTATTAACACCGTACTATCATATTGTACAGCTGTTGGGGTACTACTACTACTACTACTACTACTACTACTACTACTACTACTACTACTACAACCAGAACTACTACTACTACTACTACTACTACTACTATGACTACTGAGACTACTATATTTATTACTTCTTTCTTTCTTTCTTTCTATCTATATTTCTTTCTTTTTTCTTTTTTTTCTTTCTCAAGTGACAAGGTGCACAAGCAAAGCATAGCGGTCAGAAGCATTCATTATTGGCAAGCAGCCAGAAATACGTGCGCGTGTGGATCGAGGTAATATTTGCGCCTTCTTTCTTGAAATACATTTTACCAGAAAACTGCAGCACGTGGGCCACATGAATAACTAACCAGCTATACATCTAATCCGCTGGTCAATGGCTCTGGAGGGAAAACCTTGAAAAGAACCGATCCACGTTCAGCATAACGTAACGTAAGTAGCAGTCAACGCACGTATGTTACTGCAATCGGTGTTTTTGTAAAGCGTCCTGCTGTGGCCGTTCAGTCTGCTGCATATTTGAAATCACGGCTGGCGACGTGGTTATTACTGCAACGTGCCCGACTGCGGAGACCGTTCCGGGTGGCATGCATACGAAGTGCTGCTAATAAAAAAGAGTTTGGAAGTAAATAGTAATAATAATAAAAAAGCTTGTCCAGAAGAGAAATAGGTGTAGATATAAACTAAAACACGTAATGCAGATGTTTTCCTTAGTTAACAACTGCAACTGCCATATTTTTATTTTTATATTTGGCAGAATATGAGAAGGTCACACTCGCCCAGCCGCTCGTCTAACAACAACAAAAGCACATTTACGACACTCCAAAGCCATCTGCTGTTTTGGAAGGTTGAATCGGGGCTAATGCGTTACGTGCAGTTCTACCTATAGCCGTGCGAATTCCACAAGGTGTTTCTCACACCTCTCAATGTAAACAGGCTTCGTCGGTATATTTTTTCCCAATGTTTTGCGCTTACTTTGCTAAGGACCAGTGCATTTACACGAAGGTGAAAGCCAGTCGTACTTGTGAAGACGTATAGCAGTATAGAAAAGCCCCTAACCTAAATGAAGGAGTCACGGCTACCATCTGTGATGTGAAAGCCCGCTAAACTCACGTCTGTACGCCCAGTCTGATGCATACAATAAGACATACAATTGGATCGGTAACGGCACTAATTAGACCCTGGGGCTTTACGTACCGAAAGCACTATCTAATTAATAATGGGCGACACGTTAAAGCTGGGAACTCCGTGCCATACTTCAACAAGCTGGAGTTGGTCAATGCGCACCCTATAGTTGTAAACTACACACAAGTGCGTGAGTGCGTGTGCGTGTCACGCGTGTGTGCGCGTGTGTGTTTGTCAGAGCTAAAAACCAATTTTCGAAAAATACCCTATACTTAAAAGTCAATATTACCTTACTTGACCCACAACGCTAAATCTTAGTGCCTCAAAGTTTACCCTACACGCCTGAAATAACACTGCATGGTTAGTAGCAGTAACGTATAGAATTCACAGCACTACATGCAGGTGTGGTGACGCTAGCGCTTCAAAATTAGCTTCGAACAGAGACATATTAACATGAAAGACGGTATAGGAGGCAAGAGAGAGTATTTGTACGAAAAGAACGTTGAGTAACATTTGAGGAAAAAAAAAGCTACTAGACTCGTCAGTCATCATACGGCTGGCAGTGTGAGCGATATGGCGACGAAGCGCATTATGTGAAAAGTCAAACAAGTGGAAAAGATTTATTATGTATAGAAAACTGGCTCCGTGTATGACTACCGAAAGGTCTAAAAACGAAATAAGCGGGGGTTTATTTTGCAATAATTCAAGGGGAAGCGATTCGCCGTATGAAGTGAGGTGGGCCTATCTTCAAACGCGTAGTTATAAAAACAGATTTCGAGAAGAAGAAAAATGTACATACTGTGTGGATTTTAAAGAAACGACGGAGCTTGTTCACATTGAATGACAAAATATCCACTCGGGTTAATATTTCGCATTAATCCACACGAAGCCTTGACTTTTAGAGAAGATTCGAATGGTACACAAGTCGACAATAGAAATCAGTACAAGATGACTAGAAAATTGGTAGCAGAAAATTTTGCAGGAAGCAAATAAAGAATCAAGGAAACTAAGCTGAAACTGTAAAAGGCGCGAAAAGTAGTGCTGTGAACTTACAAGAGGTGTTCGAGCTATACTAGCGATGGTTAGTAGCATTCATCTATACACTGCGATCGAAAAAGCTCGCATGCAGTCACACCAAGCTAGCTGGAAGGCGAAAGTTATCTTCTTTCTTTGTTTCAGTCGATCGTACCGATCCGCCCGGCCTCGAAATATTTCGGCACCTTCAGTGACGTTTTGCCCAGCCTCCGGGATCAGCCCTCCAAGCGAGCGGTGTTGTGTGATGACGTCATCGTTTCACGCCGTATTGTGCGAAGTCGCAGTGACGTCACTGTGATTTCACGATGACGTCACAAATTCGAAAACTTGTGACATCACCATGACTGCCATGAGGTTGCGAAACACATTTTTTGCGTCACTCGCGTTGGCGCCGACGGTAAGTTTTTCGGGTTTGACGAGTATTATTTTTTTTAATGATTGCAACCTACTGCTGTCGCAAAATTCAAAAGACCCTTCATGCAACGGAATTAGTGGGACGCGGAGAGCGAAAAAAAAAAAAGAAAAACCATTCCATCGCAAAAAAGATCAATACCATCGTTGCAGGCATAGAGTTTCTCACGAGTACCACCGTCTATGTGAATTTCTCAAGGGGCCGATGTTCGGAGAGCTGGGAATGACGGTATATGTGTCTGCGAGGCTTGTGTTGCTGGTGTTGAGTGGGGCTTCGGCTCAAAAGCGAATACGACTGCCTAAATAAAGCTTCTCTGAAACAAGTCGTTTATAAGCGGATCTCATTCAGGCGTATTATATTCTAAAATAAAAGTCCACTCACCTTGACGGCACAACCAAACGGCGAAGGAAAGAAACAGCCGGCATAAACGTGTCGAAAAGAACGCTCGCTTTGTCGTCTGCCTGCCAAGTTTAGCGGCCGTTGGCTAGTTCTTACGCTTCGTAAAATTGTATATCATAGTAGAAGGCTCTAGTGTTGAATACAACACGTTTCTGTGCAATGACAAAAATAAACAGCATATTACGTGCTTTTTAGTAAGAAATCAATCACTTTAATGTGAAGCCAAACAAGCCTTCGAAGTATACAAATGCGAGTCAAGTTCGAAGCTTACGTATGCCCGTCCTTTCCTTGCATCCAGCAGCTCACTAGCGCCAGATTTTTTTTTCTAAGTATGATTGTGAGAAACTCTATGGTTGCAGTGATACGTGGCGTATTACCTTTCGTCTCTGCTCTCTGCTGGTTACATATGAATTGAAGCAGTTCCATTTTTACATACAAAGAAATGTTCAGTTTGCCGATATATTTATGAATGGTCGTCATCGAAGATGTCGCGTCGATCGTCTACATTTGGAGTGCGCAGCCCTTTAGGGGTTAGGACTGTCGTATGCTTGACATAACGCAGGCAAGACCACGTATTTAAAAAAAAGAAGCGAGAGAGAAATAAAAAAATGAAGGAAAGAAATAAAATGGGAAAGAAATATAGACGTAGAGACAAAGCCAGTAAAGTAGTAAACAAACAAAACTAGGAAAGGGAAAAGGTAATAGCGAGAGGAAAAACTACAGAGAAAACAGAAGATAAACAAAGAATGCTACCCAGTTCCACAATTTCACCGAGCTTAGCTGCCTCGATTTTTCACTGACGACGACGAGCGATAAGCTGGAAGTTAATCTATGTCTGATAAGAAAATCATATAGCCAACCTACCACTCCACGTCCCTGAAAAAAAAAATACGAAGAAACCCTAGAATACGGCTGGTAACAGTGGTGTGTGTGTGTATGTGTTTGTGTGTGCATATGCTTGTGTGCTTGTGCGTATGTATACGTGTCCTCATAAGGTCAGCTGAGTCAACACGCCTCTTGTTGGCAACGTTCGACCAGACGCTTGACTCCATCCAATAACAGCGATTCATGACACTTAACCCGAAACTTTCCGACATCAGGGAAGTTAAAGAATGGCGGAAAAGACGATGCCAGTATTTTTCTTGGAACTTTACACTATGACATAGCGCTATTCCGAAACTATAGAGGTCGCACAAGTCTGCGGGCGTTGTCACGAAATTCGAAAAGAAATGCATAATGTCTTACGGGACGTAAGGAGACAACCCTCCGCAGATGAACAACGCGTCGACATCGGACGACGTAAGGCCCTTGAGGTCCTCCGCGCGCACCAGCGTCCCGATGCTTCGCCTGACGACCTCCACGTTCATTTTCCAGTCGTAGCGGTCCCCGTTCCGCCACAGGTTGGCCAGCAAGAGCGAGCGCATGGAGGGGTTCTGCCATGAAAATTGCGGTGTTATTAGGTGGTTAGTTCGTTAGTCATAGTTAGTTAAGGAGTTAGCTTGACTAGTTGTTTGTTAGGGTGTCTTAAAATGGAATAAAGTTCTGTTGCAGCAGCCTAGATTGAAGAAGAAGCGTTATATAAACAGGATCTATTGCGTCTTTAATGAAGCAAAGATAGAACAAAACGACAAGGACAAAACAGCGCTGTTGTCGTGTCCTCTTTCATCCTGTGTCTTGCCTGAATTTTCGCGCAGTTTTTCTCCTCTTATGAGGACAAACAACTAGACGAAAACATAGCAACGAGCGTAATAACGTTTCTTTGTACGTGTTCACGTGCGTGCGTGCCTGCTTAGCCGTCACGGTGGCGAAGTTTTTACATATATGCTCAGCTGCTGGTCCGACGATCAACAACCTTGCTGAGTTGCTTGGCAAAGTAGATATGTTTAATTAGTTTCTTTTTCTGGAGAATTGCAAGGATACACGATTGGATGTTCGCCTCAAACGAGGAAGAGGTGAAACACGTCGTTTTGTCTAACCTCGGTGGCGTGACGTACTGTATAGTGACTTTCGTTCGTCGCCGATATGCTGTCCATGAGAAGCGTAGCCGGGAGCGTTCCCATGACCTGAAACCTCAGCGCCTTTCTCTCGGGAGGAGCGTCCAGCGGCGGGACGCAACAAACATATAATAATGTGGCAACTTCCACGGTCCGTGAGCCAACGTCTCTTTCCTCCATGATGGCTTGATTAGGAAGATGGCGTGGCCGACCAACCTCGCTAGTCGTGATTAAGGGAAAGACGGCAGGTAAGCACTCATCCACCTATTTGTTCCTTGAAGGACCTCAATTCCCACCTCATCAGTGAAACTGACCGGTGGAACAATGCGTCAGCAAGTGCAATGACTATTCGGCGGCCGTGTGTTATTGGCTGATGCCATGGTGCGTAGTGTCATGCGTGTGTGATTTCTGTTTTCTATCAAAAATAAAATAAAAGGAGCCCTGCAGGGCCTAAAATGACTCTCCAAAGTGCAGAACGTCGCTTTTAACCATGCTTTAACGGTCCATCTACCACGCTCGTGGTTTGCGGAACTCTAACCTCTTATACATGCTGTGAATAACTGTAAATAGTGCCAGTAAGCCTGTTTGCTTTTCGCCCCCCCCCCCCCTTGTCAGCATCGTTTCCTCCACCCGGAGTTGCTCAACGATACCACAGGAGTACGGGTCCGACGTAACCCTGACGTCTAGGAAACCCATTTCAGGGGGGACGCGTTAATTGATTGATTGATATGTAGGGTTTAACGTCCAAAAATCACTATATGATTATGAGAGATGCTGTAGTGGGGGGCTCCGGAAATTTCGACCACCTGGGGTTCTTTAACGTGCACCCAAATCTGAGCACACGGGCCTACAACGTTTCCGCCTCCACCGGAAATGCAGCTGCCACAGCCGGGATTCGATCCCGCGACCTGCGGGTCAGCAGCCGAGTACCTTAGTCACTAGACCACCGCGGCGGAGCAGCGGGGACGTGTCGGATAGACCCGACGCGTCTTCGTGTTCTCCGACGTAATAAAATTTTGTCACCCGAGTCGCGCAAATGCGCGAAATGTATTGCGTCTTCCTCTTCACAACTCGGCCAAGGTAAGGCAAGTGCAATGTCTTACCTTGGCGTCAATGCCTACTCAAGCATATTTGTGGGACGGATGTCTCTAGTATCACTTTTGCCGTGCGATTATAGTGTCCGATTTCGCATGATAGTCATTACTGACAGCACACATCATGCTGAAATTCCCTATGCGAACGTGTATACTGTTTTGAGTGTTGTGTGTGTGCTCGGCGTTTTGTTCTGTTCTGACTCGAGCAGTTGACGTATATAGCATCTCGGGTAATCCATTTTTTTTTGTGTGTTCTCTGTATCAAAAAAATAAAAGAGATTGCTAACTCTTCAATAAATAAACAAGTGTGGATATTACTGAGCAACCTGAAATGTATAAAACTAAAATGACGTAATTGTTCACATAGCATTAGAATCATTCAGCAGTGTGTTTTTGTTCTCTACGTAGTGACCCATACACTAATGTTTTTGGCTAATGGAAGGTGTTGCGTGTAAAGTGCCTTGGGTGAAATATTTTTTGTAGAGCGCTCTTACCTACTAGCAAGTCTTCAATGCGTGTGTACCTGTGCGTGCAATAATACTAATGCGGACTGTGAGAGAATCAAATATTGACCCTGTCATTTATTCCTTTGCGTGAATGCAGCAATCGCTTTTCCCACTGTAATTTCCCTGAGCCACCGATAGCCGCCGACTGCAGATCTTTTGTCTATTGTGCGCCGTGTGCCATGATACGCGATTGACATGCAATAAATGGTGCACATTAGGAGGAATCGGAATGAATAGGCAGAGCCTGGGTTGTATTACCCTGTATACATTTGTCCTGCCTGACACGCTGAATGGCTGCTTTCGTAATCAAGGCTATGGTCCTGACAGGCCAGCATGTGCGGGGGCGCTCTATATAAGTTACAACACGCTAGATATGGTTAGAGTGACCTCAAGCCTGGACAATACACGGACAAGCGTTATATTGGTTCGGAAAGTAACGCTAATTGTTACAGCTTAGTTCATTCATTTTTTTTTCTATGTATAGGTCCCGCTTTGCAGTGTTGGCGCCATTTTGAGTAGAGACAGCGCTCTGAAACTCATATTGAGCGAGACTGAACGAAGATGACGATTACTAAAGGGATCGGCAATATAAGCATCAGTTGATAGCATACGCCAATACATACGCAATATAGTATTCCTTTCAGAGGTTACAGCTTCCAATACTAAGAAACGATTACGAAACATGCGCATTTCACGCCATAACACATGGAAGATATACAGCACTCGCGTCTGTTGTTCCAGTGTGCCTTACTTCTGCGCAGTTGTCTGTGTCCTCTCTTTACTGGTACTCTCGATGCTTTTATTCGAATAATGCCGTAATAACCCGCGCAGACAATCCACTTCCACTGCCTTTGATTCGTCTCTGTCTGTGGAAGCGCGACTGAACCAGTATTGAATCCAAGTTGACCCAGCCCGAGAAGTATAATCGCCATCGTTGTTGTCGTCGTCGATGACGTCGTCCTGTATAATGGCCACTGAAAGACGAAGGCCTCTCCCTACAATCGCCAACACACACGGTGTGTCCTGCGGAGCTGGTTCCATTTTACGCCTGAAAATTTTCTGTTTCATTCGCTCCGCCTAACACTTTCCTGTCACAAGAAAATTTGACGATGCAAACCACCGAAGAATAGGTGATAGAAAAGAGTGTTATCGTACGCGCTGCCCATACCTCAGTGCCAATTATTTATTTATTTATTTATTTATTTATTAATTTATTTATTTATTATTTATTGGTACGTTCAGGGCTTACATAGAGCATTGTAGAAGGTAGGGGATAAAGTAAATGAGTACAATAGAAAAATAAATATACAAAGAGAAGTGTAGAAAAACATATTAAATAGAAAAGAAAAAATAGAGCACTCAAGCTAATATACTACAAAATAGAGCAAAAAAGGTGGGCTTGTGCATCAGCTAGCGAAAACTAAAGGCAAAAGGGCTTGAGGTCCGTGTGCTTAGATTTAAGTGCACGTTAAAAAATCCCAGGTGGTCGAAATTTTCCGAGCCCTCCACTACGGCGTCTCTCATAAGCATATGGTGGTTTCGTAATGTTAAACCCCACATTAATGTCAGCTAGCAAAAATAGGACGCAAAATACAAAAAGAAAAATATTGGTAGCAATAACAGTGCATGACAGTGTATACTAAAATCAAAGAATCAACTTGTGTATTTTCGTGCGTAAATATAGATGCAAAAAAGTAAACATACAAATAATGATCTGTCCTTGTCTTGCGTGACCTCCTCATGTCTACTTCCTTATCGATATCAACTAAGCTATCAGCTAACCTTGATTATAACATTGTTACGGGGAATAAAGTATACACTTTTTCCCAGTATAAAGTATATACTGGGATCGTACCTTTCGTAGAGAGGTACGATCCCAGTACCTCTCTACGTCGAGAGGTACTGGGATCGATACCCCGCACCTCTACCAATGATGTTACGGGGAATAAAGTATACACTGGTGAGCAAATACGCACTGGCGAATATACTGCGAGCTAATGCGTACGACGCTGCTGCAGTGCGGGCACGTTCCCGTTCAGCACATCGTCGTCGTCATCCTCAGGCATCTACTTAGCCCGTGACAATATAATCAACATAGCTGTTTTTCTAACTCTTAGAGTTACACTTATCATTTAACACACCATAAGTCAGAAATGGCAAAATGTGGTCATTCCTACCTAAGTATTTTCGCGGCTTCAAATCCCGGCTGCGGCGGCTGCATTTCCGATGGAGGCGGAAATGTCGAAGGCCCGTGTGCTCAGATTTGGGTGCACGTTAAAGAACTCTAGGTGGTCGAATTTCCGGAGCCCTCCACTACGGCGTCTCTCATAATTATACGGTGGTTTTGGGACGTTAAACCTCACAAATCAATAAATCCTTCCTAAGTATTCCTAAGTTTACCACTATCTTTTAAGAAAAAAACAAACGTACGTAATGGCTGCACCTTACCGGCACTGCTGGTAAGACGCAGCTGTCACGTATGTGTATAAGATGCACCTGTGAGACTTATCTATGGGTCAGAAACACAGGTAGCTTCGAAAAGGGCTCAACTTAATTTGAGGATCACGTAGCGAACCATGCACATAAAGAGAAGGTATAAATGTAAACTTAAACAGAATCATGAGAATGTACGCGAGCAAAAAAAAAAAACATCTGGTGGTAAAGGCATCTTAGTCGAAATCAAGAAGAAATGAGCATGGGCAAGAATGTAGCGCGAAAGCAAGGTAACCACTGGTCATTAACATTAATAGAAGATATTGCAATAGAAGGCGAACGCGTGAGGGGGGGACAAAAAGTTAGGTTGGCAGATTAGGGTAAGTTTGTGGGTGTAGCGTGGCCGCAAAAAGCACAGGACAGGGTGTATTGATGAAACATGTGAGAGAACTTTCAGTATAGGCATCGTCAGGATGGTGATGATTACGTTCTGCATGCATGGTAACCAGCGGATCATAATGAACGTCCCAGTTATACGCAAAAGCGTTGTTTTATATACTGAGCCCAAACCTCAAGAGTCGGTCGGCCAGCGAGAATGCGGTCGGCCTCTCGATAGGCCTCGTCGAAGCTTAAGTCCGGAGAGAGTCTCGGCAGGACGGCGTCCATGGCGTCAAGCTGCTGCGGCAGGAAGTAGTCGCCCACGATGGCGGGCACCGAGGACGGGCCCACGTCCACCACCACTATGCGCTCGACCAGGGAGGGCTGCGATGTGTAAGTAAAAGATCACCACATACCAGTACAATAATCCAATTTAGAAGGGACAACTGGGTGAGTTGGTGTGCTTCCATCTTGAACGAGGTGTCTCTCACAATCATATAGTTGTTTAGGGACGTTAAACCCCACATATCAATCAATCCATCTTAAACGAATATTAGAGCGACAGAAACGGGGAGGGGAAAGAGAAGACAAACTACAGCACTGACTAGCAACTAACATTCATTCCTAAAAGAAGCGGAATAAATAACATCTGGAAAAGCAAAGCAAAGAAAAAAAAGAACCATTGCGCAAGCTCAGTGTGACAAAACTCAACAAAAGGCTATGTGGCTGAATAGACGTAAATTTTATCTGTGAGATATTAAACTTCTGCACTTGACAGTGCTATAGGGAAGGCTGGCTGATACAATTATCGCCTTCCAGTGACATATAAGACGCTTGCATGATTTCTCGGGACCGTTGCTCTTTGTGGCAATGCAAGATTTTCGTTTTATCTAAACAAAGATTACAACCGCTTATTTCACGATGAATGATCAAATGAGAATCTGTGCCATTTTTTACATTACGTGCATGCTCCTGGATTCGTAGATTGACGCAACGACTAGTCTGTCCAATGTTAACCTAGTTGAAAGAGCACGTAATCTTGTATTCTGCATTAGTTCGACACTTGATGAATTTATTCATATGTTTTATCGTGCAGTTTTCTTTGTGTCACATAACTTTCACCGTTAAATTTTCTGTGCACAGCTAGTCAGAATATAGTCACCCCACAATTAGAAATAATTGAGCCATGATTGAATTTAGCTATGTGCTTAAGTTGGCGCATGAGATTAAAAATATGGGTAGTAGATACCTAGCTGATGTTGTTTTCAGCGTCGGCCACAAGTTACGGCAAGTATAGATGTCCAGCTGCTCAAAGGAAATTAAACGGTGAAAATTACGACGGCGAAATGCCTTCAACTGGCCAAGTCCGGTCACATGGCGTAGTAGACGGATCCAATGAGCATTTAGGAAAAAAAAAAAAAGTCGCTGGTCGATTAGTCACGGCACTTTACGTAAGCCTTGCAGGCACTCTTTCGAAAAGGCCTTAGGTTCCGCTACGGACCACATTGAGGAAACCATTACCCGCAACGATATCCATGCTTTGTTCTGGAAGTTCTTTCGTTTCTTGGAAATCCTTGCTTGTACGGTCGACTAAGCACCCGACAAAGTGTCAACGTACACATACTGGAGGTGACATGTTAACGAGGTGACTCTGTGGTCGCAGGAGCGCAGCTACACATAATAACACAAGCACGAGCATACATAAAGTACAGTTGAACAGCTGATCCCTCTCCCTCTTGAAAAATATTCCTGGCTACGCCTCCGCGCGGAAGCGATACACAGCAGCTCTTGAACATCACAGGTCATGCGCGCATATCACTGACCGTTTTGAGCGCTAGGCGCATGACCGTCCGGCCGCCCATGCTGTGACCAATGAAGGCGGCTCTCGGCAACCCACGGTCGCGCATGAAAAGCTCCACATCAGCGGCCATAAGCGCGTAGTCCATGTCTGGTGCGTGGGGGCTGTCGCCGTGGTTGCGCGCGTCCACAGCGTACACCTGGGAACGCCATTGCCGTTTTATATTATCAGATTCCAGCTCTTCGTCAGTTACCCTTACAAACGAACGCACCGGGATGATTATACGTTCGTGCACAGTTACACCGCAATATGCACACATACCAACCTTGGAACTGCTCACTTCAATTGATTATACATTCCTGCACAGTTACACCGCAATATGCACGCATACCAACCTTGCAACTGCTTACTTCAACTGATTATACATTCATGCACAGTTACACCGCAATATTCACGCATACCAACCTTGCAACTCCTTACTTCAATTGATTATACATTCATGCACAGTTACACCACGATATGCACACATACCAACCTTGAAACTCCTTGCTTCAATTGATTATACATTCATGCACAGTTACACCGCAATATGCACACATACCAACCTTGCAACTCCTTACTTCAATTGATTATACATTCATGCACAGTTACACCGCAATATGCACACATACAAACCTTGCAACTCCTTACTTCAATTGGTTATACATTCATGCACAGTTACACCGCAATATGCACACATACCAACTTTGCAACTCCTTACTTCAATTGATTATACATTCATGCACAGTTACACCACAATATGCACACATACCAACCATGCAACTCCTTACTTCAATTGAGAATACGGACGTATGATGAACGCGCGTATATCGCGACACCGACCTGTTTAGCAGTTGCAACTTGAGAGTGCTGTTCTGGGGCCGACTTCCAAGTCACCCATCCATTGGTTCAAAGCTTAGGCTCAGCAATAAGCACGCTCTTTTATCAGCGAATAATACAATGGAGATCTTTATATGCAAGCCAGCTACGGGGCCATACGTTTGTGAGTGATTTATTTGTCATTGTGTCGTCCACTAAGGCAATGATTGAATCATAAGAATTGGGATTTGCGCAACAAATTCACGAGGACTATAAACAAAAATATACATAATCTGAAAATACGCACGTAACTGTGCACTAACACATTATGACCATCGCATTTAAGAAAGCAAATATACTTATATATCTTGGACTATGATCCATTTGTGTTCCATAAATGTTTGACTCTTCATCGTTGCGTTTAAACCTAAAGGAAAGAGGCTAGAGTTCGTGCAAAGTGGTTAGCCAGCTGGCGAAATCGTACTGGAGATGTAGTGCGGGAATTAAAAATAATGTTGATTGACGAAGCGTGCAAGCGTGTACGCTGAACTTAGCGGGCGCTGTCAATGCAGGCCATAAAGGCCTGTATATACCTCGGGAATCTCGGCAGCGCAAATGAACTTGTATGCGCCATGCAGAGTCCTATAATTAGGTGACGTTTAATGTAACGTCACTTTATGCCACAAGCACCATGACAACCTTGTATTGTCGCACAAACAAAACGAAACAAACTGTTTCTCTTCCCGCGTGTAGTTTTTTTTTTATGGGACCAACGTCCCAGGACCTTTCATTCTGAGAGTTTGTTCATAGCGCAGTGAACATCAGCTGCATCGTGACACGTGGGCAGGCACAGCTAATCTGCATGGGCTTGTCGTCAGAAGCACAGACACTGCACGTGGGGCTGTCGGTCACTGAAGTAGGGATATGCATGTCAGTTTGGGAAAGCCACGCCGATTCAAGAGCGATGCATCATGGTCAGTTCACGTCGTGTTATCCGAGACGGTATAGATGCATGCTACTACGAACGACTACGATACGTGGCAAACACGTTCGAGGTTCACAGAGGAAAACTTACTCGCTGAAGCGCAATCATTCATATTTAAGACGCGTAAAATTGACTGCGATTTCCGAAGGCTTTCCTGTAAGAGACCCGATATTTAATATTTATTTATTTATTGGTTTATTTATTTCCACTGGGATATATTTTTCAAAGGTCCTAGCAGCAGTGGGTACATGATTAAAAAAATGTAGAATATTGAATAAATACTAATGTCACTGTGACACAGGAAAAAACAATGATATCTCGAAGGGGGAAAAAGAAATGTATAAAGTATAATCCACAAGCAAAGAAAGTTCTGTAACATGATATACAAAACAATGAATAAGGAGGGTTAACTGACTGTATACTTTTCGAAAGCGATAGTGTACAGTTATAGCGAGAGAAATAAACAACATTTAAAGCGTGTATACGAAGGGTGGGAATAACCAAACCATACCGAGGTATCTTGTACTGGGAATTTAAATAGGGTGCGAAGAATATTTCACGGTCACTATATAGATTACAGGTCAGTAGAAGTAGGCGAAAACATAAAGAGTGTCGAATGAATGCCGCAACCGTAGTAAAAGTTCTGAACTCTCCATTACTGACGGTCACTTCGCGCGGGAGTCCTTCGAAATCGTAGCAGTGATTTCGCAGCCTTTAGCAGCTGCCCAGAAAAAAAAAAACTAATGGGCGAAGTTAAAATACAGAGCTCACATTTCGTCCCGTCTGATTGGCGATGGCCTGCGAAAGCTCGCTCCAACTGCTCCTTACTCCGAGGATGGCATCCAGGAATATGACGGGGGGCGCCTTGCACGACTCGCCATCGTCCGGTTCGTAAAGCGTGTAGGCCAGCGGCACCCCTTTCGACCTGAAACAAACAAACAAAAAAGTGTGAGCTTCTATCAGTGTGAACTTCTATCAGTGTGGAAGTTTTTTTCTGCAGCGCTGCATAAAACACCCGAAACGTGCATGCAACACGCACATATTTACGATTCGTTGTGTAAAATCTCGAAAACGGTCTGTGGTGCACACCACAATACAGAGCCGACGATGAGTATTAAGTATATAGCTTCGGCGTATAGAAAGAACGCGGATAGTTTAGAGGAAAGCTTATATAGGGAAACGTTTAGAGAAATGCAGAGAAAATAGCTAAAGAGAGGGCTATGGCGATACGGTCAGGGACGGGGCCAGGCATTTTTCCGGGGGAGAGGAGGAGATTCCGAGAGCCTGTTTGTTTTATGCGAGCGCGTATGCTAAATCAAAATATTCACGGGGAGGAGGGTTGAGCTCCCGAAACCACTTTTGCGACTGCGGCTCTCTACACACGTGAAAAAATGGCAATAATTTCCATGACGAGGCTCGGAGAAAAAAGAAACAGAAAGTAGTCGATCTCTACGTCACAGGAACTTGCATAACACGAAAGTGAAGCTTGTCCTTACAGAAGTGGTTTAATGTTTACTGCACATTGATAAGAGAGAGCTTGCGCAATGTTTCTTGATGTTTGACAGCTACAGAACCGTTTAACGTAAACGCACTCGCGCTAACGCTTAGTGATAATTCCCATTCCAAAGACTAACGTCCATGATTAGTGATTTAACTAATCCTTGCGGTCATAAAGGCTTTTGGTAGCTGTAGTATTTAATGTTGGGAGCGGAAAAAGCGGTGTGACAGCCAAACCAGCCGTCACTGAATGGACGCCAAACTTCAACTGTGGTCGCCTGCTCAAGGCATGTTGGAGTATTGGACGCCACTGCCCGGCTAGAGAGAAAGGGAGTGCACTTTAGCCGGACCTGACTTTACACTGTCGGCTGGCCACGATTTTTCGCGGGTTGAGCGTGAGTGAAGAAAGCGGAGTAGTAGTTAAGCATGCAGCTATATACAGGGTGACCCAGTTATTTTAGCCAGAGTTTAAAAATATGCCTCAAAATATAAAAAAAATTGCGTGTGTAAAATATACACACGCAATTACGATGCGACCATATGCGTGTTGCTGACGGTTGCCTGCAGTTAGACAATTTTTTTTGTGTTCTAAAATATCGTTTAGTTGGATTCGTTTATTTAACTAACTTTTGAAAAACTCCGGTGGATAAAAGAAATTCACTGAGAAAGTTGTAGATCAATGAGCAAAATGACCAATTAGGCAGGTTAGAACTTTATATCTGTTAGTAATTAGTGTTTTTCTGCTGCCTACAAATGCCTGCGAAATACAAAAAAAAATACCACGTGACAAGCCCACGGGCGCGCCTACGCGCGTTATGATTCTGGTGCTCCTTAACGTTCCGCGTACGGCCCCACCGTGGTGGTCTAGTGGCTAAGGTACTCGGCTGCTGACCCGCAGGTCGCGGGTTCAATTCCCGGCTGCGGTGGCTGCATTTCCGATGGAGGCGGAAATGTTGTAGGCCTGCGTGCTCACATTTGGGTGCACGTTAAAGAACCCCAGGTGGTCGAAATTTCCGGAGCCCTGCACTACGGCGTCTCTCATAATCATATGGTGGTTTTGGGACGTTAAACTCCACATATCAATCAATCAATCAATCAATCAAGTGTGTGGCCGTGGCGTAGCGGGTAGCGTGCCCGGCTTCTGTTATCGCGGATCGAAAGATCGTGGGCTCGATTCATATCGACAGATCTATATTGCTTTGTTTTCTGGTAGTGCGTTCTTTCTCGCCGTCATTTGTGTGACTAAAGTACGTCGCTGAAGTTTTGGTGGACGCCGGCATGAAACCCTTTCATGTTAGAATAGCCGGACATTCGCAAGCACTGTACTTCTATTCTCGAAAGTTTGCCTTAATGCCAGCGAAAAATGTTACGTGAACACTTCTTGTATGTAGCTATATAAACATAGGGATATCACGGGCAACTAGTTCGTGGCTCGTTAAGCCGAAAGAAAGAAAGAAGGTCCTATAAGAACGTTTTATAAACTATTCTCTCTGTGTACTCTTGGCTGTCTCCTGAGCAGTGTGTAGCCACAAGTTCACGTTTTGTACACTGAGTACAGGCCGCAGCTACGAAGAGGTACATGAAAGTACGATGGCGTTGACAGTTGCTTTGGATTTGTTTTCACTTAAGCTTATGCTGATTGTACGTTGAAGAGAACTGGATTTAGAAGCGAAACACCACGGAGACGTATACTGATGAGGTAAAATGTTAGTGTACATATTGAAGAGTGTATTAAAGATTCTAATAATGAACTCTGGATCTCAGAAAGTCTTTGCAAAACTTGGCCAGCTAAATGTACGTTCTGTATGTTTGCAGGCTCGACAAAACAATATAAAAAATTAGAGGCTAGAAATTACAGCAAAATTATTAGAATTTCTGCAATGCAAAGGGTTATTAACGAGTACAACTGTTGGGTGTGCGAAAACCCCTCGATTTTTCAATTTTGCATGTGCACGCACACATACAAATACACACACGATAGTATGAAGCCCCCCCCCCTTCCACACACAGGCTCTGGAAAAAATTCTGGCTACGTTACTGATCACATTAATGTGTATTACAGGCTATAATAAATCATTCGAATACACACAGTTGTCAATTGAATATAACAACAATGAAGCTGGAAAGAGTTACTTAGCTCAGCTTTATCCGCAGATGCTCTTTCGCAGATTCCATACTCGGCGCAACGAGGCTGCGATGAATGGTAAACCACACGCGAGCAACCTCCGTGCAAAAGACACGCGTAATCAAGATCGTATTTCCTCTGCTAAAACAAATCTGTCCCTCTCTTGTATTCTAGGGCTTTTGGTTTGGAGGCTTTTGGATCTTGGGCCATGCATCTCACACCAGTAAATTGCTCTTCAGTGGTTTCAATATCAGTCATTATCTCTTGCCCACATCAGTATAATGAATGTCAACGTCAACAGTACCGACATCAATTGTGATGATATTGCAATGTTGCAATATCGCTGACCTTTATATTCCACTATCATGAGACCAGTCCACCTTTGGAACTACGTCACACTATCATTCCGTGAGCCTACAAAGATATGACCACCATATCGATCAAGCAGGGCTGCGATGTCAGCACAAAAGTAATGCCTGTACCTTCGCTCCCTACAGTCTTGCAGTACGCCAATGTCTCCACAGACACTTGAGCCCTACAAATATCAAGTAGATATGCGTTACGCCGACGATTGCCACACTGCTTGGCACCACGATGATTCCCTTGAATTTAGCTTGTATTTTTATTTAACCGAGCGTGCCCTAATAAACTGGCCCTCTTCTGCAAGCTCTGCCCCCTATCATTGAGCTTTGCGCCTGCGCTCTTCAGTCGGTACACTGACGCACAACGGGTGTCAAGATGTCGTTGCGCGCAGCCGCATAAATCGTTGCCGGAGCATGATAGTGGCGAAAACGGGAGCTAACGAGTTCATTTCAGCTGTTGCCACGGTAAAAAACTTGGAGAAAATGTCTCCATAACAAAAATCTCACTCACGAAGAAACACTTGTTTCGCGTTGCTTCGATGAGAAGCATCCTGATGACATCGGTTTCGTAGGTGCAAACATGTCCACGTGTTTGAAGCGCCGGTAATCCTCGGGCCAAGTAACTTCTCACTGTGCCCCGACGTTGTCACCCTCACTGTCTATCGCGTATTCTGTCGCCCAGCGAGCCCGCCGGTGTCAAATGTCTGGTGAGAAAGCGGTCTAGTCAACAGTCTGGGACCCCACAAGGTACACTCTTATCGCCAGGCTGCTCTTATACTTTTTTTTTTCGCAAGTCGCCGCAGTCTTTAACTCTCTGAGTATCTGGTTCCGCCTCGTGGACTACGGCCGGTTGGATATGGCTTTCTGGGAAATCGTTATGACAGTGCTGTGAGACGCAACGGAACCTTCACGAAAGGGATAGCATATTCAGCGTCAACCACCGTTCCTATGCAGCTTTCCTATGCAGTGTCCAAATGAAGTGTCCCAGTGGAATATATCGTATCAGCAGTGCTCTAAGACAGTGCTTATGTGCAGCGTCCATAGGTAGTGCCCATGTGAAGTGGCCCACGCACGACGAAAAGGCCGAGTTCAGTGCGGACCTTGTTGGATCCCTCTAATATTTCGTTTTACACAGTGATTTTCGTACAGTGCTTCACAATACACACGTAAAACATTCGGGCATTTTTGGACGAAACTAGATGGATAAGCTGATTTATGCGGAAAAAATTACTTTGTGCTTACATGTTAAGCGTCGATTGCAGTTACAGTCGACAACTCGTAGGAGCCGATGTCATGCCATGCACACACTTGATGTGCGTACACGATAAATAGGAAGCAGAAGTAAAGTCAATGATAGCTTAGCTCCCACGTGCCCTTCGATAAGAAACATGAAAAACGATTTATTGGAGGGCATTCACTTCATTTCATGTTATTTGACAAAAGCACCTGTGTAATTAGGGGCAACCTCAGCCCCGCCACTTATACACACGGAGAAACAGTTGAATAAGGGAGTTGCTCGCTTTTGTGGCGAGCGGTTGTGCCCCCGTGATCTCCGACGACAGCGCAGCTCTGGCCAATTGGGCTCGCCCTACGCCATCTCCTGACACCGACAAGAGCTTTCGCCGAGTGGTGCCCCGTCCTCGGACTTCTGCGACCGTGTCCATCTTTCCCATCTCCTCTTCACTTCCATCGTTCTCTGTCGTTCGCTGTCCATGTGCCCCGCTCTCTTCTTCCTCTCCCTATCTATTTACATTTTAATCTTATCCTTTTAATCCCTCCTTACCCCATTCTTCGTGAGATACTAATGAGGTGTGCTCCCCCTAAGAAACAGTTACGGGGCTCACTTTTATCTTCTTTTAACTTAAGAATCTCCTCCCCTCAGCTGATAAAGGCACCAGCTGTTAAAATCTTTTTTTTCTTTAAGCGTTCATTTACCCCATGCTGGAAAAAAACTATACAACAACCTTTCAAACGGGCTTGCCAGGTTCTAAAAGACAAAACTCGCCAGAATTCAGTCAACTTAATCATAGGGCAAAAAATAGTTAATGTAGACACGCCTGCCTGAAAGAGTAGCGAAATTTTATTCATATCGCTAGATGCAGACGGATTTTGCCGGAAATTAGGTAAGTGCTACATGAATTCTTCAAGAACAAAATACCTGAGATTCAAGCATAAATTGCAGATTTTAGTGATGATTTGGAGTCGGACAACGAAGTTTCTTGCGCTGTTGCAAATGTAGGCAGATTTAGGGCATGGCACGCAAAACTTTGCCTTCGCATTTGATGCCACTGTGCATAGGCCATAAGCTAACCACTCGAGTATTCCCATTCCTAAAATAGCGTACTCACGGACGGAAAGGAAGCACTACGAACCATATTATTAAATTTTCTAGCGGTACCATCTGCACCGTCCTCCGTTTGTTTTAAAGATTACTAGAAGTAATAGTCTTGTTGAAGCAATGAGAAATGAGTACAATATGAGTGAACTCGATATCCCTGTTGCTGGAGTAATAACCTTTAAGCAAGCGTGGCAGTGATTTTCAAAAACCCTTCTTGCGTGATGACGAAGTGCGAGCAATTAAAGGGACACTAAAGGCAAATAACAGTTGACGTCAGAGTGAAAACTCAATGTATGGCTAAGTCTAGAACGACGCCCCGCCACGGTGGTCTAGTGGCTAAGGTACTCGGCTGCTGACCCGCAGGTCGCGGGATCAAATCCCGGCTGTGGCGGCTGCATTTCCGATGGAGGCGGAAATGTTGTAGGCCCGTGTGCTCAGATTTGGGTGCACGTTAAAGAACCCCAGGTAGTCTAAATTTCCGGAGCCCTCCACTACGGCGTCTCTCATAATCATATGGTGGTTTTGGGACGTTAAACCCCACAAATATATCAAGTCTAGAACGACAACGGGGTTGTGACGCGGACGAAGGGAGCAGACTCGATGTTCATGATCAACCATTTTATTCGGCCGAACTTGTGGCCGAGAAATTGAAAGTCAGATTACAGCGACACGCGGGGACTGATAGCGGCGAACAGAGCGTCGGCCGGCGATCAACTGACGAGCGGTAAAGGGCGTCGACATTTATACAAGTGCCATCGAATATTGTGGCGTTATCGCTAGCAGCCACGTAGGTTCAAGAATATTCTGAAATGTTCGCGAAGCGGGCATAATCTTAACTAAATGATCTACTACAGTTCCGAATCTTCTCGAACACTGTTAGCGCTGAAATTCACGTATACAGTGTAATGGGGCGATAACAATACTTGAAGAAGAAACGTGGCATTGCCCCTCTCTGAAAAAAGCATCGTCCCGATGTTTCAACAGGAGATGAAATTACAATAGGAATGCACGAAGGTACAAGCAATAAATAATGTTGCAGTAAAACAACAACAAAAACAGTATTTCGATTCATTAACGCGAATGAAACAGCTTGAGGCGCACGACATGGACGACTTCGGGTCGCGATCGGCACCGTTGAGAGTTTGTGATGCCGTCGGGGACAACCTCGTAGTTGAGTGCGCCGAGAAATTGAACTACCCTGTACGGCCTGAAGTGTCACAGAAGTTTTTCACTGGGGCCGCATCGGCGTATCGAGGGCTCGCGGAAGTGGTCATTAACACCCTGAGAGGAAAGGTCCGCGTGGTGTTGTCTGCTCCAGACAAACTAAGCCATCGAACCCCAAGAAGGAGGTGCAACCTACCTGTGGATGGAAGCATGTAACTAAGTTTGTTGAATGCGCCCTAGCTGTTGTGTACATGCTCCTGCTATCGTGTGGCGTGGTTTGTATTGGGCAGATTATTAGGTGTGTTAATGACCACTTGCGCGAGCACTCTTGCAATGTAAAAAAACAAGCTATCTTCTGGTGCTTTCCTGGCTATGCATTGTAAGACGTGTGGATGGACTCCATTTTTTGATCAGTGTGTCATCTTGGGCCGCAATCGTAACCAGTTGACACGGGAAATTACTGAGGCGAATGTTATCGCAAAATGTGCGAAGCTGTGTGTGAGTACGCCATCTGTGGCGTTACCTCAAAATGAGCGAAGTTTTCTGGAACGCGTGCTAGAAGCATTGGTATAGGATTGTTAATCTGAAATCAGATCACAAATATGTTTACTTGATAGCGTGCTGTGCCAGACGTGTATGGTTTTGTCATGTGTGTGTCGTCACGTGGAATGAGGTATATAATGCGTTGTAAGGGTACGCGATAAACAAAAGTTGGAAGCTAGCGCTCACACTGTCGTCTGTTTTTTCCCTTCCTCACTGCATAGTATCTTTCCTACACGCTCAAACTGAGCTGAGCTAAAGCAATATCATTTTGCATAAGTGGCAACCTGCCATAAACACTCAGCGCTTCTCCTGTTAAACGTGTCGAAAGCGCCGTTGCCCAAGGGCCTTCGGGCCATTTGCCCCCTGGCTCTCAAACCGGCGTATAAACGCGTTTAAGTCGCACCTTCCTTCGTCAAAGATGAGGTGACGAGAATTCTGCACAGTGTTTATCCTCAAGCTCTGTTCCTCCGCGACATACAGGTGCTCACGGCTAAATCGGCTCACGTTGCTGCTTTCATTGGGATGAATGTTTATTTGCCGTAGCTTCATTCTTTGTATACTTCTTCGCACTCTCTCTCACCTTTTCCATATCCCTTTCCTGCCGGGCTAGTGCCTGCTCTTCTCCGGGCCCCACCGCGGCGGTATAATGGCTAAGGTACTCGGCTGCTGACCCGCAGGTTGTGGGTTCGAATCCCGGCTGCGGCGGCTGCATTTTCGATGGAAGCAAAAAAATGCTGTAAGCCCGTGTGCTCAGATTTGGGTGCACGTTAGAGAACCCCAGGTGGTCGAAATTTCCGGAGCCCTGCACTACGGCGTCTCTCATAATCATATGGTGGTTTTGGGACGTTAAACTCCACATATCAATCAATCAATCAATCAATCAATCAATCAATCAATCAATCAATCAATCAATCAATCAATCAATCAATCAATCAATCAATCAATCAATCAAGTGTGTGGCCGTGGCGTAGCGGGTAGCGTGCCCGGCTTCTGTTATCGCGGATCGAAAGATCGTGGGCTCGATTCGTATCGACGGATCTATTTTGCTTTGCTTTCTGGTAGTGCGTTCTTTCTCGACGTCATTTGTGTGACTAAAGTACGTCACTGAAGTTTTGGTGGACACCGGCATGAAACCCTTTCATGTTAGAATAGCCGGACATTCGCAAGCCTTCTATTCTCGAAAGTTTGCCTTAATGCCAGCGTAAACTGTTACGTGAACACTTCTCGTATGTAGCTATATAAACATAGGGATATCACGAACAACTAGTTCGTGGCTCGTCAAGCCGAAAGAAAGAAAGAAGGTCTTATAAGAACGTTTTATAAACTATTCTCTCTGTGTACTCTTGGCTGTCTCCTGAGCAATGTGTAGCCACAAGTTCACGTTTTGTACACTGAGTACAGGCCGCAGCTACGAAGAGGTACATGAAAGTACGATGGCGTCGACAGCTGCTCTGGATTTGTCTTCACTTAAGTTTATGCTGATTGTACCTCGAAGAGAACTGGATTTAGAAGCGAAACACCACGGAGACGTATACTGATGAGGTAAAATGTTAGTGTACATGTTGAAGAGTGTATTAAAGATTCTAATAATGAACTCTGGATCTCAGAAGGTCTTTGCAA